ATGGAAGTTCTCCAGTGGCTGCCAGTGCGCGGCCGTGTCACCTTCGCTGGTTTCCACGCCATGAGAGAGTCGGCAGCTCGCGCGGTTCGGTTGAGGCCGCAGAGATCTGCAAGACCCGGGCCGTGTCGCAAGGCTTCACTGACCCCAAGGCCTGCTCTTGCTTGATGTTATGATATGTCGTGATGATTCGTGATGCTCATTTGTGCAGCTTCAGGAGCTTGCATTTCAGATGCGCAGCATTGCAAACCTACACCGAAGTGGGGGCGCCCTGATTCCTCCGGGTCTGGGGGGGTATGACCACCCGGTACGGATCAGGAAACGGGGCGGGTTACTTGGCCGCACCCGGAAAGGCGATTCAACCGTCACGAAGTTTCAGTCTGAAGCGGCTGAGGCCTGAACTGCATGCTGCGCATGCACGAGATTTGGCGACGGCATGCGCCAGAAGAGATTGACCGTCTAATCTTAGAATTGGCCTGGTGGGGAGGACAGTTCCGTTGGTATACTCGTGGAAGCACCAGGATGCTGGATGCCACCCTATTCGTCCGTGCAGCAGCGGCGGAATGTCTTTCAGCGTTGATGTACAACGGAAGACAAGACCACCTGGATCCCGACCACCCTCTGTGGTGCTGCACACCAATGCACGAGCGTCGACCAGTGAACCTACATTTGTAGGACTTAGCGGTCGTGCCGAGAGGAGAATTGCATCGACGCAACATGTGTTATGTTTGTTGAAGGGTTCTTGCAATGTCAAGCTCAACATTCGGCCAAGAGGCTTGCGAGAAGATTGACACTCTTGAGCATGATGACAGGGAAGGTGCTGGAATTTAGAATTTACAGTGGCCGAGACCAGGACATTCCCTGGCACGTGCCCAAGACGGCCAGCAGGAAGAGGTTGAAGGAACGTTTGGCGAGAATACATCGGAGGTGATGAACGAGATAGTCCTTCAGCCAACCTTGAGGTGCAAACGAGGAGGACACTAGCCAGATGCTCTAAAACAAGCCTGGGGGGCTCCAAGTGGTGAGAAGGCTCCACCCACCACACCGTCGACCCAGCCAGCCGCCGGGCCTCCTTTGGCATTTCTTCGCGAAGTTTGCCGCCTGCGTATCTGCCCTGTCCGAGGAGAAATGTCCGCGTCCTCAAGCTCACAAGATTGCAGGAGTGGCACGGTCGCTTCGTAGAACTGAGCTGCGCAAGCTGTCCCAGGCGGCACGCCGAAAGTAGTCTCGCATGGCTGCAGTGGATGGAAAGCTGCATTCAGTGAGCTCGCAGTTCACTTAATCAGTCGTCCCTTGCATATTGAAGTTTCCATTTTGGGCATGTGCCTCATTCTTCCCACGTCA